GGCTAATTTTTTTCTATATATTTTTAGTTGTCCGGCTAATTTCTTTCTATTTTTACTAGAGACAGGGTCTCAGTCTTGCTCAGGCTGGTCTCGAACTCCTGACCTCCAGCGATCCACCGGCCTCCGCCTCCCAGAGTGCTAGGATTACAGGCGTGAGCCACCGCGCCCAGCCAAGACTCTGGCTTTGAGGCAGACAGACTGGGGGTGTTCAACTGTATTACTGTCCATCAATATCCAGGACCCTTTCCTGGAGGCAGGTTTGGTCATGCGACTTGGCAAAGGTGAACAGAAGTGCCCCACTAGTTTCAGGGGCAACACTAAAAGCTCACTGGCAATTCCCCAGCTCTCTTTCCCCTGCCCTGGAGGAAGCCTGTGTGAAAATGGGGCCCTGGGGAGTAGAGAGTAGAACAAGCACAGCCGCCGCGCTGCTACTTGATGGGCCCCAAACACCAGCTGTTTTAGCTCTCTGGGATTTCGGGAGAGCTTGTTACTGCAGCAAAGCCCAGCCTGGCCTCACCACACTCCTGGGTACTGTTTCTTTATGCCGTTTAATAGAAAAACAACAAAATACAGAGAAAACAGACCCATAATAATACCCAACACAACACAGTCTTGGGGAGATCCGCAAGGAGAGCTGAGCGGGGTGCTACTTGCTGCTGCTCTTGGGAAGGGGCCGATAGACTCCGACGACCACGGCGTGGTCTCTCTCATAGGGCTCCAGGGTCAGCTGCTCTTGAGGCTTCAGGTTCTCCTGCTGCAACTTCCTCACCTCCGAAGCAAACACAGCCTCGGCGGATGCGGTGGAGTCGATGCAGTTCGCCTTGATGGAGATGAGAAAGTGGCCCCCGTTGCGCAGGAAGGTGTGGGCGTTCAGAGCCACGATGCGGGACTGGTCAGGCTGGGCCACGTCGGCGAAGATCACGTCCACCATCCCGATGAGCATGCGGTACTTGAGCGGGTGCCGGGCGTCTTCGAGCACCGGGATGATGTTGGTTCGCTTCTTGGCCACGTTGACCAGATCGCGGCCGGCGCGGTGGGAGAACTCGACTGCGTAGACCAGCCCGTCGGGGCCGATGATGTCGGAGACGTGGGAGACCGTGGTGCCCGACGCGGCGCCCAGGTACAGCACTTTGGACCTGGGCTTGATGTGGATCTGGTCGACGCCGCCCAGGATGGCGGCGGCCAGCTTGGACCGGAACGGGTTCCACGTGCGGTACTCCTGCTTCACGCCGCCCTCGGTCACCGTGACGCGCCGCTCGCCGTACACCGAGAGGCCGGGCACCATGTTCAGCGTGACCAGCGCGTCCTCCGCCCCGCGGTAGATGAAGACGCCCTCGTGCCGGTGCGGCTCCACCGACACGGCGATGACGCCCTTCCTGCGGCGGCTCTTGCTCTTGGCCGCGCCGCCCCGCCGCGGGCCGCCGCCGCC